ATATAATTCCATGTCCCAGAAGCTATAATATGATTTGTTTATGTTTTTTTGTTATTGGCTTGTTTACTGAGATCCACATTTTAAAATTTAAAAACACTTTGTTAAAAAATATCCTTAATCTAAAAGTCTTTAGATGATTTGGGGCTTGTAAGAATGATTGAGTATTTATTTCTATTTGCTATTTCAAAAAAATGCTGCTTAGGAAATGGTGGGGTCTAAACATTATCAAAGCACCATCCTAACAAAATATTTTGGAAAGTATGATGCTCTCATTTTTCTTAGTACCAACATGCACTGCAAAAATTCTATAACCTTCCCCAAAGCAGATGTTGGACAGTCAATTATTTAAAACAAAAGAGGACATTGTATTAATGTTAGTTCTATTTCTTCAACTTTGTAATATCTGAAAATAAATACACATTGGAAGTGACACATTCCTGAGAGGCAGGGTTGTGTAATCAGGTAAGAACACCAGGCACTTGAACAAGACCGCCTCGGCTCAAATGCCAGCTCTGCCATTTAATAGCTTTGTCGCCTTATGCAAGCTACCAAACCTCCCAGTTCTTTTGTTTCCTCATCTTTAAAGTGGAGATAATACTAGTACTTACCTCATAGGATACTGAGAGTTAATTTACGTCAAGTGTTTAGAACAGCGCCAACATACAGGAAGCACACAATACATGCTAGCAATTATTATAAGGTGTTATTATACTTGGAGTCAAACTCCACCTACTTGCCTTTCAAGGATTGCTTTTGTGCAGATGCACCATCCACCAGGGGTCTTTCAGTTCAGGAAACACTGAGACTCACGAGAGTATCACAGGCTACACTTGGCACCAGTTTACCCAGAAGGCTATGGGACAGGAAATGTATTTTTCCAGGCAACATCAGGCTCTTCTCTGCACAGGAGTCCCCCTGTAGTAGCTGGCACGGCAGTTCACACGGCGGGTGGGAAGCTGCCTGTGCCTTCCCCAGGGGGCAGCCCAGGTGCAAGGAGATGAGCTTTACGTCAGTGGGAGCGAGGTTCACTTGGGCTCAGCAGCCTCACGCAAAACACAGAGACCTGGATACAAGGCCTGGTATAGTAAGAGGCCTTCTGGTGCTCTGACATAAAGTTGAGGAACTCAGAAAATTAAAAGAAAGAATAGCTAGCATGTCTTTTTTGGATATTCCTATTGGCTACCAATAATTACAAAAAGATCTGGACGAGGATTTGCCTCCTTGATGTAGCTGTTGAGGACCGACATCACAGGTGTTTTAACTTTGATTTCTGTAAAAAGATCCAGACATTCTATGTATACTAGACATGTGGACAAAACATTGACATTTTATGAGGGAAAAGAACATACCTTTGTTAGTAAAACTCCTCCTTTTCCATAGCAAAGGGTTGTAGACGTATCTCTAGGCAAGACCAAGCCTTTGGTCTGAGAGTACTTCTAGAACTGGACAGATTTGTACTGTAGCTTAACTGAAATCAGAGTACATACCATAAAGCAGAGATGAGACATTACAACAAAATATTGCAAAGGACTCCATTTAGATGGTCATACTTTGGATTATTTACAAAATACATCTTGCAGTTAGAGTAAGAGCTAATTTACTGGGCATAATCTCTATACTTATCTTGATTCTTAAAAAAAAAAGAAGCATGAACTATATCCAATTTGTATTTGAACACAGACAATATTGAGGAACTTATTGTGACATCAACAGACCAATAAGCTCACTTACTCTGAAACCACACCAGTGGTGTAAGAATAAGCACAAGTGCCCACCCGGGAAGGGTGGCTACCTTCCTGTTTACTGTGGCAGGAGAACAGACTTCCAGTTTATCTAGATCAGAGGCCTTTAATTTAGGTCATAATCCTCTTTGATAAGTTATTTAAAACCTTGTCCCCTTTTATGGAGAGAAGGTGGTAGGAAGCTACTTACATGTACTTGCATGCAAATATTTACATACAACCTTAGGAGGTTTGAGGGCTTTAGAAGATAACCTTGATCAGGAACACTTCGTCTAGATCAGAGAAGAGTGCTATCAGATGTTAGGAAAATTAGCTCCTTCAATGGTAAACCTTTCAAGTTACATTTGCCTAGAAGGCTTTTCAGTTGATAAAAGTGATCTGTGATAGAGAATCTTTGGACCTGACTTTTATAGCCCCATTAGTTTATTCTATCAGACCTTTAGAGCAAATTGACACTCTTGTTTGCACAGGTACACCTGTGAAATTCAGAAACTTCGTTCAGTAAGTTCAACACAGAGATCCCAAGGTAGTCCATTAGCGTACAAAAATTTGCTTTGTTTTCAGAACAAGGATTCTTTCGAATCCTTCCCTTGAAGGATTTTTCATTAAAACTGGCCTAGATAAGAGTATTTTTAATAAATTACTTGCAGAAATGGAACTGTACAGTTATCCTCTATGAGCAGGCCTGAGGCACTGCTTGGGCCTTGAACAAAATTTCCTCCCATTTGCTAGGCTTATCTGTGCCCCTTGCTTGTATGGCCTGTGATTTGGCTAATAGCAGAAAGTCATGTATCTTAGCACCCCTAGATCTTCGACCTCGAAGATCCTCAGAGAGTGTCTTACAAGCTTACCTCAGGAAATAACAGTATTCTTGCAACAATGCTCCTAAACTGCTGCAAAACTAGTCTTCGTGCTCTCCTAGGAGGATAATTTGCCCTGTGGTTTTTCTCAGTCAGCCAGAGAAGAAGTCCTACTACAGTCATTCAGGATTTCAAAATAAAAGGACTTGTCAGAGGGCGGCTAAGGGATCACAGTGGCACAGACAGGACTTTGCTGATTCAGTGAGGAAAGAAGCCAAGCCCATTTCCACATTTCAAGGCACACATTTAACTGAAACATCCTTTGTAAACTATCGGTTTACATATATGAACCACTTGTATGGAAAAATCAAAAGGAAATGAAATAAATGCAGTTTGTACATGATATGAGAGTCAAAAGAAGGTGAAGAGAATGTAAGTTTTCATATGGGAAGCCCAGAGCCCCCTGATGAAATCCTGAGTGACAGCAGATTCATAGGACCACCTTCTACGGAAGACTCAATGGTAGCACAGAGCACTGGGAGTAAACCAAATATTTTCATGTTTAAGAGAGAACATTACCAAGGATCCTCAATACAATTCATTTTAATTCATCATTAAAACAACAACAACAACACAAATTTCTTCTTCCTATGGTGATAGTGGGAACTACTTTTGGAATCTTACGAACTCCAGGTTTTTAATGAAAACTGCTAATCGTTAGACAACAGATTTGAGCCAGCAATTTGTCCATAATGTTAATAAGAAAGTGTATTATTCTCTTCAAAGTCTAGTTTTTTTTAAGTTGTGTACATATTCAGAAACCCTAAGTGTCCTCTAAAATACATGTAAGTGCTTCATAAAATCCTGTTTAATGTTTGCAAAAAATGTGTCTTTCCTGCCACATGCCAGATTTTCACATTTCTGGCTTCAATAAGTAAAAAGACTTAAAGATACGTGGTTGCCAGGTATTCCTGCCTTTCAAATTACATATTTTTTGGTGTTACCTTTTCAAGGATTTCAGGCTTGGCATATAACGGAGCTAATTAAATTTTTGTCCTAGGAAGCAGCCAGCGAGACCACTGCCCCAGGCACAAAACCTCCCCTAACTACACTCCTCCGCTCATTTATTCTGTATGTGAGATGAGGCTCCTCAAACTGCAAAGGTAGAGGACTCAGGCCAGACATCTGCTGATGGGTTTTCAGTAACTACAGAGCCAGCACTGGAGCCTCAGCCCAGATAGCACACATCACAGAGGGGTGACAGCGGAGGCACCTCTTCCCGTATGTGCTGGCTGTGGATGACAATCTGCCAAACTCAAATAATGGAAGAGGCATTAGTTATATAAAAATGAACCAACTTGGCTTAGCCTAAAGTCTTTTGCAAGATTCTAGGAATATCACCGCATTTTGCCCTAAGATTGTTTTTGTGAACCCAGAAAACAATCAGAAAACAGAGTTATGTGGGGAAAGATTTCCTTTAGTTGTTTCATTAGTGCATCTTTGTAATTAAGCAATTTCATCAGTCTTCATAAGAAACAAATGCAAAATTTAATAACAATCCACTCTTTGGCAGCCATTCTACTAGGTTCTTTACCCACCGTATTTAACTTCATGAAGCTTTTTTTCCCCCCACTATTTAATATCTGGGAAAACTAGGATGAAATAGTTAGACCTGGAATTTAAAACAACTTTGAGAAGCCTTGGATTTATCTACTTTAACACTGAATGATGAGCTTAAATGTTGTGTTTAAAAAAAAAGTTTTCTGTGGGATTGTTTGGGAAATATTTATGAAAATGAGTGGTATTCATGCATGTGTGAATATGACATTAATCTTAAACTATGAATTCCCTGAGAGGAAGAATTTTCAGTTGTAGATAGTCATCTCTTATAGAAGGAGCTCAACATTACTCCTGGAAATAGGGAGATCTGTTACAAAGAAAGCAGTGACTATTCAGACCTTATGATAGGATACAGAATAGATAGAATCTATTTCGCTGAAAACCAAGAGAAAGAAATTAATCTAAGATATCACCGGAGAGAGTAAAATATGGATCTATTTATTCATCAGATAGATAAATTATTAAAAGATTAATAGATTGATGTGACAATTTACATAGATACATAAAATGGGGATTAACTCATTCATTTCTAAGATAAAAAAAAGTGGTGCATTTCATTTTCTGTAACATTAAATCTGTTTAAATTTCTGATTATATTCTTGAATAATAGCTTTTTTCTTTTTGTTTTCCCTTGGACAGTTGGACAGTGTTACCTCCCTGATCCAAGCAGCCAAAAATTTAATGAATGCTGTAGTTCAAACAGTGAAAATGTCTTACATTGCCTCAACCAAGATCATCCGAATTCAGAGTCCTGCTGGGCCTCGGCATCCAGTTGTGATGTGGAGAATGAAGGCTCCTGCAAAAAAACCCTTGATTAAAAGAGAGAAGCCAGAGGAAACTTGTGCAGCTGTCAGACGCGCCTCAGCAAAGAAAAAAATCCACCCAGTGCAAGTCATGAGCGAATTTAGAGGAAGACATGTCTACTGAAACCCTTCTTCTACTCGAGTGTTTATATTACAAAGGCCTGGCTAACCACACTGCTTTGTTCTTTCTTACACTTGACTAGTTCTGTAAGTTCACTATTTTGGAATTTAACCCATAGATAATGTAAAACATTGGAAGCCTGACCAACATGAGCAACGTATCTTTGGGATCATGTCATTGTCATTCTGTAAAGCCAGCACCTAATAAGTAATCAATATATGCTTGTTGACTGAATGAAACATTAAGGTGCCATTCAGCCTTCCCCATCACAGAGAATCTCTTATATCCATTACTAAATGAACACAGGAGACTCGAGTGAGCCCTGTTCATCTGTAACAGCTTAAGAACACTCACCTTTTTCGATCTGAATTAAAACACTGACATGAGCTCTTGGCTTGGTTTTCAGTAGAAACAAAAGATTCATAAAAATACTTTCCCATTTAATCTCCATGCTGTCTTTATCTGATCTAACCTGACAGACATCTGTGACTCCTGCTACGGGGGAAAAAAAATCAGTCTCTAAGTATTTGTAACTACTGTCAACTGATTGGGCTGTAACATCCCTCCTGAGCAAACCTGAGCAGTCAAGCTCATTGCTGGATTTTCAAGGTCTGACTTACTTCTTCATGAAACTATTTATTAACATTATAAAGTCAGTAAGTCAATTTGATGCCGCAAATGTGCCTTTTAGGACTCCACTGTGTTCAGCAGTTCTGCATGTTGAGCTGTAGATTTAACTGGGTCCACCAGAATACATACATGGAAGAAGAGTTTTCACCCATTGCTGTAACGGGTATCTAACTATATCCCCGAGTGAGGTATGATAACAGAAGTGTAAGGAGTTCTCCACGGCTCTGAAACTCCATCTGTATTGGCTTGAGAGTGCAATTAACAGGAAAAGGCCAGTTTGAAAACCCTTTTGGCATTGAGTAAAGTATAACTCAAAAAAAATGTGTGAATTGTACCAGTGAACTATGAAGTAGAGTTAATGGTAATGAAGGTAGAGTGATTTTAATAACACTTTTTAAAATAAGTCACAGAGGTCATTTTATAACTACACTCATTGTGCTCACCCCAGTTGAATTCATAATGGACTTCATAGTAGTTTCAGAGTCTAGAGTATGGCTTCTTTCTCTCTCTCTCTTTCTGGAGGAGTTAAGTTTCAGTTTCACTTTTGCTCATGCACAGAGCTCACAGGATTTTAAATATGCGTTTCCTAGTCTACTGTACCAAAATTATATTATAATTGTAACTTCACTTTGGAAAACACTGCCATCAATGAGTTGTTTTAATGACCACGTCACCTAGATAAAATTCAAGCCTGCAACATCAGCTGATGTTAGGAGGACTAGTTTGGGCAAAAGAACATGTGAAGCATAAGAATGCATAAAGACTGAAGCGTGATGTGCTTAGTGTCTTGAGCCAAATGGTATGGGAAAAGAATTTACTTAATAGGTCATTATTACTTACGGTGAATATGTCAACTTTTATTGTAGTGTATTATACTTTTCTTCCAAAACTCTAGATTACCTGGGCTCAGCACACACATTTTCTAGGAGTGAAAGCAACATACCCTCCCTGTCTTGCAGTGTGCATCAGCCCACAGTTGTTCTGAGCAGAGTCCAATCCCTAAAAGAGAAGACAGTACAGAAGGAATTAGAGAATGCAGATAATTCTGTTTTCCAGAGCCAGCTAACTAAACAGGGAGGCAAAATCTTCTGTTGAAATGCTAACATCACTTTCTGCTCTAAGAGTGGTCACTACAAGAGTGACACCTATGACACATCCTTTCCTCAGGTGGAAGTGTGAATTTGTAGTTTAGTTGAGAAAAAAAAATTAATCACCAAATTACTAGCTGTGTATCTTAGTTCCTAAAGCCATATGCTCAAGAGTCCTAAGACTCATGAGGAAATCTATAATGTCCTTTTGATCCTACATCAGCTTTCCACAGGTTGGAATTTAGAATGCAGCACTGGATGCCAAAAGAACAGAAGTAACTGGAAATTATACAATTATTAAAAAACCTATCTTAAAAAAAAAACTTTTTACCCAAAAATGAGATGTGAACAAGGCCTCCTCTTTAAAGGAGATAGATTTCTAGCTTTGCTCAAACAACTATAATTAAATAAAACTTAGTATATTAAAAAAAAATTATCTTGAAGAACAGCCGAGAAGTAAAGTCTGCTGCAGCAACCAAAGGTGCAATAAGAATAAGATACATGGATCTGAGAAAGACACCTGTCCACCTGACTGAATTCCTACAGTGGGCAGCATTTCAGGATTTAATTCAGTTCAAACCTGCTAATAATATAATACTTATTCACAAGAAAAATTAGCAAATATATTAACAAATCTTCTCATTATAAAACATAGTTAAATGAAATCAGTAAGTATGAAGGTAGGATATATATTTATAATTATCCCTTCTGTAGGGGGCTGACAGAAATTTAATGAGGGTGATTGCTTGGTGTCCCATCTATGTACGTCTTGATATCACATCACAGAGATTGGTGCTTATTCTAATGATACCTTTGCTTTATCTTGCTCATCAAAACTCACCTTTTTCTTTTAATGAAATTAATTTATGTAGAAAAAAAATCCATGAAAAGGAGGAGGGGGTTTATACCACCTACAAGGACATTTTCATCCCAGTGAGCTGCCAGCATCACTGTCAAATGGCAGACTGAACTCACAGTAACTTACAAAATATCCGTGATATCATAATTCACTAAAGAGTCTTTTAACTAGAAAACCTGGAAGGCTTTCATCAAATCGGAAAGGTGATAAATATAAATCTCTCCCTTTTATTTATCCCAAGTGGGAATTCATGAATTAAAACAGTTATTTCTTTCTAATGGACTCCATGTCCGAGTCTGGGGGAAAAAAATTCAAACAATGAAATTTCTAAAGTAATTTGTTAATTACTCCCTTTCTGCTTATGAACGAATATTATGACTGTATTAGAAAACGTAGTATTCTTAAAAGTGCCTTTTGGCATTTGCAAATCTCTTAATTTACCAGTATCCACGTAACATCTATGTTCCCCATAAGGGGCACATCCCCTCACAACTACACAGAAAGGTCCCCTTCTTCAGTCTGGAATTCTTGCACACTTTACAGCTTCAAAGGAGGTCAGTTTTCAAGTCATATTAAAGCAAGAAAAGTGAAAATTGTGAACACACTGCCAAGTGCCCAATTTGGGCCTCAAACCTAATAATTAGTGCTCCTCAAATTTAATGAGGGGCTGAGTAGACTAACATCTGACAACAGAGAAATGATTTCCAGTGGCTTTCTACACCTTTACATTCAGGGCAGTCTTTTCCTTTCACCATCCCTGAGCTCGGTATCTACCAATAATTGCTGACAGTTTTCTACCAGAATGATGCAGTCAGACCTGCTCATCCCAGTCAATTACCCCCCAGTAACGTCCTTCCCTCAGAGTCCATGCACCAAAAATCCTCTCTCCCATCTCTCATCCCATCCTTAGGTGTCTATCCCACATGTAAATTAATACATTTTGTAGCATTCTAGTTAACATTATCAATTTAAGTTCTCAGCAACATTATTCCTTACTGTTTTCTATTCCAAAAAACATCTCTTTTGGTGTCAAATGCACACTTGTGTGCTAGAGATTGTGGTTCCCATGGATACAGTTCTGTAGAGAGGCAGAATGAGGAGAGAGAGATCTGAGACTTTTCCTAATGATATTTACCGTTCTCTAGTGAACTCATCGCAGAATTGCTAGCCTGTTTCAGTATCTTTGTAAGTAATTCTTTAGGTCAGCAAAGCAAGCACTGAAATGTCAGGCTGAGTAAAATCTGTGCTTTCTTTTGTCAGCCTATCTTTTGCATATTTAGGTGTCAGTCATTTTTTCTGTGTGGAAAGTCAGAAATATTTCTCAGTTTGACTTGATCAGAAAGTTTAGGGGCAGCCAGTTAGACGGTTGTAATTTACATGTTATTTTAATAATTATTTTTAAATAAACTAGAAAAATGGCTGCAACCTGAGAAATTTATATATGATTTTCATTTGTATGTCACATACCAGAAAACAACACTTAATCAGGTAAAAACCCTATAGCATTCCTTTGGTCATAACTCTCTTTCCTTACCATTATAATATATTTAATATTAGCCTTTTGCATGCTACTACCAAACAAATAGCCAGACCTAGTGACAGAAGTGTCTATCCACCAAGTAGTTTATAAAGTTTTCACTTTGGTCCTTTGGGTCTATTAGGAAAGAAAATATGGATATTATTAAAACCAGATGTATGCAACTAAAGATGCCCTAATCAAGGCTGTAACACTATCTTAGACATCTAAAAGACAGAAGAAGAATTACAATTTTAAATGCATTTCTTTGGCTATTTTAACCAATTTACACAAATAAGAAACATTTTCTATTAAAGCAAAAGAAAGACTAGTTTATGACATTAATCATTTTAGACGTGAATCTTTTCCCCTGTCAAGACAGGTAAGATCTATTCTTGAACACTTCAAAAGACAATGATTAATACTAACTGAGAGAACCATTTCCAAATGGAACCCAACTTTACCAGAATCCCATCGACAGGCAAGGATGGTCTGCAGAGCTGGCCTTTCTGCAGGTCCTGGGATGAGACGTCTCATGGCTGCAGGCTGACTTAAGGCATCCAACAGTCCCCACTGGTTTAGGGAAACAAACCCAAGGACTGAGTTTCAAAATGAATTTAACAAGTTGGAGGGAAAAAAACAGTAAGTACAGAGCAGTTGTAAAAGAAAGTGGGTAAGAAAGTGTCAGAGGTGGAGGAGGGAATAAGAAAGGTAGTTGCAGAAGCAGGTAACTTTTACCCCAGAGAGGGGACGAGATTTTGGCTCTAAGAGGATTAGGCAGCCTCCTCCTGAGGAAGATTTTAAGGGCTGGATGGGGCACTTGTCTTTGCCGGTTTGGGTAAAGTCCTGTCAGGGCAGGAGGATGAACTATGTAACTTCTAGGATCATTTAGTGATATTGTTTGCAAGATGAGAAACAGAAATTCAGCCAATTTTTTAGGCTGATTGATGGGTGCAATTCTAACCAGTATCAAGAGTTAAATCAGGATATTATATATTTAATAAATATCTGTTGAGCAACTTTGACTTTTCAAGCACTGCTGTAGGTTCTCAGGATACATCAGGTAACAAAACAGTGATGCCTGCCCTTCTGTGCCAACTCTGTGTTCAAAGCTATTACTTTCCTTGATTTTCTCAATGACCATAAGGGATAAATATAATTAGCTCTAATCCTTAGATAAGGAAGCTAAGGATATGGATTTTGCTTGAAAATTCACTTGCTTTAAAATTTGATTGCACTCTAGAGTCAACTTTTAGCCACCACACCATCCAGATTTCCTGGAAAATGGGACTGAATTTTTCAGTTGAAAATGGGATGCACATTTCAAATGTTGGCTGGCTTCCTACATAAGAGCAAAAGAATCAAAGAAATATAAGTCCATACCTACATCATTCAAAGCAGGTACATACATAATTAGCTGAATATTATCACTTCTAATAACCAAGTGAAAAATATCAGATAGGTGAGGAGTGACTGTTCCATCTAGGTGACCTAAAATAAGATGAGAACCTTTGTCAAATTACATTTATTTTCACAGAAGTGAAATTGTCAATAGAGGTGCCTATTTAAAATTCAACTTCACCATCAACTGAAAACCATCTGTTGACACCAATTCTTTCCTTTTTTTACTGTTAATATGTATCTGTATGTTTAAAGTTAAGTTTCCTTGTATTCCAAACCAACCCAAACCACAGGAAATGTATGTTTCCTTCTTTATGGAGGTAACAAATGTTTACAATGTGTGCCTGACTGCAGGTAAATTTAGTCCTTTATCTTTATATAGTCCTTCCTCCTAGAGACAACTGAAGGCTAGACTCTCCTTTCTCCCCATGTTGCCACGTAGGCCTCCCTATCTCAGGCCTGAGGTTGGTAAATGACTTCCTGATCTTTCTTAAGGTGGGAGCCACAGGTCTTTCCTTAAACTGGGAATGTATTTTGGGGGGGATCTGTACTTTGGGGTACATGGTCATGATGGTGTCTATCTCCAACTGTAACAAAAGGAAGCTCTCAAGAGGGAAATTCTTTTTGAAAAAGGCTGAGATTTCTAACAGTCATCTCTAAAAATCTCTTCAATGTAGGACAAATACAACAACCACTTAAACGGTATTAGCAGAGTGGTCCTGGTATTTTCATTTCACAAGGGGTATTTTCTAGTTCTAAAGTTTTCTTTACTTTGCATTTTCAAGAAGAATGTTTATTTTTTGTTCTGGGTATTTGGTCTTGAAGGTGTAGCATCTCTTTAAACATCTTAAAACCCTCTTTCAATAATTACATCAATAGTTCAAAGCCTAAAGATAACTTTTTTTTTTCCTGTTCAGACAGCCATGTATCACGCAGTCCCAGGCCAAACTCAACACGTCACATCAGTTTCCCACTTTTACTCTCTGTGACACGCAGTGAGAGTCTAGCTTAGACTGACAAGTGTCCTTGGTTAGGGCTTCTAACTTCAAACTTGGACTGGCGTGTTTATTCATAAAGCAAAGGGGCAAGTCTGTGATGTTAGTTCATACTCTCTTGTTAAACAGAACTTTTCTTAAGACTTTAAACATAAAATTAATTTTAAAAAGACTGCAGAGATAGTACTCCATTGCTTGCCAAATCTTACACCATTACAGCTCTCTGTTCTTACCTGCCGGCATACAACGTATCTACAGAGGTATAAACATGAGAATTTCAGCAACTCTCTTGCAGGTTAAGCAGTGCTTCTTACTGATTTTGAAAATCGTCCTTGTGTTGTACAATCCCTCCAAAGAAAATTTCATTGGACCTAAATGACAGCATGATGATTTCTCTTCTATATCCGTGACTAACCAGCCCCTGCAAACAGAAGTAGACATATGTTATGCCCAATTTAGGACCTAATAGTTGGGGCTTTAAACAAAATTTTCTTAGGCAAGTTGTCAGGTGATTAAATATGAATTAAAACTTTCAGTGAAAGATTTCCAGATGCCCCTGCTTTCCATTTTGATTATGGTTTCGGTCCCATAGTGACTTGGCGAAAGAAAAGAATCACTTACTCTACCGTATGTACTTTCCTAGCACTTTTGACAGTTTAAAGTTAATTTCTGAAGGTAATATGCACACTGTAGTTGAGGAGGAAGGCAGATTTAAACTAAGACAGTCCGAGATGAAATAAAAGCAAGCAGTTGATAACGGTCATGCTTACTGCAGCGATATCTTGAGGACTTTGGTGGCACCTGAGGTGTTTCAAACTACCTTGCTTCTACAGCTCACCCCGCTGTGCACAAGGCAGAACAGGGCGGAATGAACCACCCACTGCAGTAACTGCCACTTCAAGGGAGTTTTACAGTTTGGTTATGGATAAACTTTGGCAAAAGCACTTGTGGAGCTTTCTGGTCATTATTTATCCTTACATTCACCAATCAATAAAAATAAATTATCTATCCAGGAATAGATAAAGCTCTTTAACACTCTCATGACACTGAAATAGAAGCCCAAATATTTCTTTTTTGAGATCCGGCATACCTTTTGTGCTTAACTGATTCAAAAATTTTCTTTCACTCTGTACTTAATTATTCCACATATGTAACACTGGGTTTGTTTCGAAGGTATGCGGTATTATTTGAAATAATATATTTATTTCAACTCATGTCACTGTAGTTTACTAATAATTTGTCCCACTAATAATTAAACTGTATATTAAAGCAATAAAAATGAAAGGACTGTTTATATATTTGGTGTTTATCTTTGGTGGTATGTGTCTCAGGTGGGACAAAACGAGGAACTACTGAGTAGTACAACCAGTGGTCTAGGTATCAGCTTCATTCCTACTCACCTTCAGTTTGTATATGTAAAACCACTGTTGTCTCTTCTGGGCCATCATTTTCTCCTTCAAGGCTCCCACTGCTTCAGAACGCTTACTGCTAAGTCTCAATCTGTTTCTATATTTTCTTAAAATGCAGTCTGTACATTTAGAGTCTCTATCACTTAATTCCTGTGAAAAACCATGCCTCTCCTCATTCAGTTCAACAGCAGCCGCCTCTTAGTTAATGAAAATGCTAGCATGGGTTGCCTCTCTGAGTCAGTCCATCCTGGGCCCGAGGAGCCCGTATTTGCTCTGGCAGCAGCTTTTTCTCACCGTGATCTGCTGTCATGCTTGCTCTGGGGGTGGAAATGGAACTAAAAGCACTCTTGGCAAGAGGCATCTGTTCCTGCCTGGAGGCTGAGCCCCGATGTTTCCTGGGCAGCGCCATCAAACATTCCGTCCACCAGCAGTAACTCACAGATGTCACGTCCTGTCACCGCATGTCCAATATCCTGTGGCTTGTGAGGGAAAAGCTGCTGCACTTCATTGTCAACCGGCTGGCTCCCTGCCCTGTCTGAATCCCGTTTTTGGAAAGGCAGAGGTTCCTGAGGTATGGGTCCAGAGAAGGGAGTCCTCGTGAATCGTGAAGGCCAACAGGGAATGTCAAAGCCAAGGGCAATGGCAGAGGGAAGAGTTTGGGTGGAGAAGGTCACACTCAGGTTTGTACCAAATTGTCCCCCTTCCCTGAGGAGCCTGGCTCTGCTACTCTGAGCTCCACCGACAGGTGAGGAAAATCTCCTCATCCCTCGCGCTTGTCCTGCCTTCCCACTACCCCGTCTAGGTGGTGGCAGCAACAGAATGTTAGGTGTGCTGATGAAGTCTGCAAGTCACCCTTCACAACAGCAGAAAGGACAGACCCGCAGGGACACAAGTGGGCTGTCCTCCCGAATACAGACCTACAGCCCTCCCTTGGCGGTGTGCCCACCAAGGGCACTGATTCACAGTAGGTGTGGACGGAGAACTAACAGGTTTGTGGTGTTCTTTCTCTTTATCTGGCTTCAGAGGAAGCCTCTGTGACAGTGCCGGGAATCCACAGCTGGGTTCTGGTAAGTCGCCATCCTTCCGTTAAATGCTCATAGCATCCTCTGTCCACCAGGCTAATCCATTATGTGGCAGTTACTCTGAGGGCTAATTTGGAAAAGGAAGACCCAAATGCTGTACCAGGCCCCGATGCCAGAGCAGTGTTTGCTCTCCTTAGGTCTGTTATACTCCGAACTCTTAGGAGCAGTGATAATATCGTGTTCATTTCTATCTCTCCAATCCTAGCACAGTGATTGGCATAGCAGTAGCTCAACTGATATTTCTGGAAGGAATGAGCAAATTCATGAATGAGCTTATTTCAAACGAATGAATGCAGAACTCCACTGATCTGTGATTGGGGCCCTCTCTGAACCATCTAATCTGAAATTCTGAGCATTTGGTAATCCTCGAGTTTATAGAGACAGTAACCAGTGTCAGGGACAGGATTTGAAAGCTCCTAATTCCCCGTCACTCTTCCGAAAGCATCACTGCTGCCTCTGATAAATGAAAGTCACTGATGAGGAAAAGCCATGGGCTGTTTTTCACTCATTCGTTTATTCAATAGTCACAGATATTTCTGGAGGGACTGTTATATGCAAAGGTGTTACGGGTGATAGAAAGATACATGAATATTTTGGAATAAAGACATGGGCTCATCAAGTTAATTAAAGTAAATAGCAGAGGAAGGGAATTAAAATGAAGCTTGTGGCAATCTTACCCAGGGTGCAAGAAAGCAATGCAAGTTTCAGGACTCAAGAGGGACCTTTGTAAAGGTTCTCAGAGGAGAGTGTGGTTTAGCAGTATGAAGAAAGATAACATTCCCGGGGTCTGGAAATGAGCCAAGGCACAAAAGTAGGGATGAGCATGTCACTTACGGGGCTCAGCTGGCTGGAGTGAGATGTTCAGGATAGGCACAGGAGGACAGGAGCTCAGAAAGACAAGAGTGGGTTAAATCACGAGGATCTCAGTGTCAGGCTAAGATGCTAAGGCTTTAATTTGTAAATGGGGACAATACTAATGTCTCCTAGCAAACAAGTTCTCTAACACAAACAGAGTTATAAGATGACTAGTTAAGACAGTGGAAGGCAGGACTGATAGGGCATTCAGAGTAAGAAAAATGAATAGAGTAAATTAATTCCAGTAACCCTGTGTGATATAAACAAGAGCCTGGGTGAAATTATAGGATTACGGATTAAAACAATATTTTCAGAATAAACTATAAAGCATCAAACATAAGCAATCACAAGTCTTAGGTTCTATCTAAAACACAGATACATTTTTCACTCTACTATTTAATATATCCATGCTTATTCTGATAAAGTTTCTTTTACTATGAGGGCAATTTCAGATTTTCCTGTCAAATAGTGACAGTCAAGTAGGTGGCACCATGTTTATCCTATGACTTCATATGCCCTATCAGGGTGGCTGTATGATTCAAGAAGAGCAGAAACAGATATACGACTCTCATTGTGTGCCAAGATGGCACCGTGGTCAGAGACATGGCCTCTGGCATCACCTTACCCAGTTTGCATCCTGGTTCCATCATTTTTAGCGCCAGCCTTTCTTGGGCAAGGTCCTTAACGTCTCATTATCTTGAAATTCTCGTGTCAGAGAGAGATGACATTTCTCAGTCCAACTGACAAAATAATGATGTGTTTTGCAATCAACACCCCTCACATTCAGTGAAATGGGACAGAACCTACCACACAGGATTGTTATGAATATTGAATTAATGAATGTATATAAAATACTTTGAAGGATGCCTAGCACAAGGTAAACACAATATAAAATTTAACTATTATTATTATACCTATGACGTAAAAGCTTCAAGATTAAAACACCCAAAACAAACTTCTGACAGTTTCTTTGTAGGGGGAGCGGGGAGAAAGAAGTGCCTGGAGCAGGAGAGCCTGAGCCTGCCAGGGAACCACGGAGAGCAGCGAACATGCCAATTCAGTCAACGGTTATTGGATATTCCTCTAGGTACCAGGGTAACTCCATACTAGTCAGTGAAAACACTCTTCTTCAAGGATTTAAAGACTAGCAGAGGAGATAGGAGTTAATTTAAAAATGAGTCCAAAAGTACAAATTTGTATCTTTGATAATTGCCACAGGTGAGACACACAGGTGCCATGAGCCTAAAATGAGGGACTTTGACCTAATTAGGAAAATCTAGGGAGGCTGCTCTGAGAACATGAGACTTAAGCTGACATCAGAGGAAAGAGCAGACTTTCACCAGGTGAAGTGGGGCGGACAGAACGCTGTAAGAGTTAACAGCACATGTGAAGCTCCTGTCTAGGGGCACAGGGGAGCCCGGCACAGAGTGGCCTGGGGCGAGAGGAAGTCAGAGAAGCAGCCAGGTACCAGTGGGCAGTGGAGAAGACAGTGAGGGGATAAGTCCTACACTCACGGTTCCCAAAGGGCAAGCAAAGCAAGAGGCAGGCTCCGCAGCCATGTCCTCAGGGGAACCGTCCCCACCGGCCCAGCCTCTATCCCTCATTCAGACGCCTTTCTTCTCCTGGGAAGGAAAGGATGACCCTGGGTTGCCTATTTACAAATGGATAATGCACATGAGCTTCTATTTCTGCCATGTTTTTTATGGACTATGACGGAAATATTCCAAACCAGATAGCAGGCACAATGCCTCAGCTACAAATCGTCTGTGAGAGACGGGCCCTCCCAGCCTCCGCTTTGGACTCCTTTCTCTGCCTGGGG